AGGACGACATAGCGGTCCAAGGCAATTGTGGTGAGTGTGAACACCGATACATAGACGGTGACCGGCTGCAGGAAGAAAACCAGGTGGCACAGGCCTCCACCGAACACCCAGCCGCGAGGCTCAAAGGCATAGGCCAGCGTAAGCGGTACGCAGGCTGCGCACATGAGCACGTCGGACAAGGCCAGGTTGCCGATGAGGAAGTTGGTCACGTTGTGCAGCCGGCGCACTCGCGCGATCACCAGCACAAGCAGGCAATTGCCCACCAGCCCCACGACCACCACGATGCTATACAGCATCACGATCAGCCCCTTCAGCTGGTGCACCAGCTGCAGGCTCTGGAAGGGTGTGACTGCTGCAGTGCGGGGAATGGTCACCGACCCGTTGCCCTCCGAGGCCTCTGCGCTCTGGTTGGCTGGAGTGGAGCCGGCTGGCGGCAGCCCAGAAAACAAATCGGGATCCCCAGGGGTTCCAATGGGCAGTGAGGTCATGGCCACCTGTCCAAAGGTAATCAAAGTTGTCACTTTCCATCTTCCATCCGCCCCTCATATGCCCTCCCCATCACCCAACGCCTCTCTCTGACATAACTAGCCCCAGAATATCAAACGCAATGAATGCTGTCCTTCCAGCTCAATAAAATAAACCTAGCACAGGTGCTTTAAGCAGCTCCTATTCGTGGATAGCTCTCGCGGTTCGGGAAGGCAGACCTGGGAGCTGGTCCTACCTGCGAGCAGGCTTGGCTGGAGGGAAAGAGTTCTCAAAGGCAGGCTCAGTCAAAGGCAGGCTCAGACTGCCTGCTGTCCCTCGGGGATGTGTTGGGGGGGGGTCCTCAGCCCAGATGGCCACTCGTACTGCTTTCTTCTACTAACGGATCCAGGAGTTCCTAGTGGGCCAGCAGCTTTTGAGGGGTCTGGGAGCTCCTCCCACTCCAGCTCTCCCTTCTATGGAAGATGGGGGTGGAGCTGCTTAGAGAAGGGGAGCAGAGTGTATAGTAAGGATAGAGCCAGACAGGGGCGGGGCCGCCAGAAAGGGGCGGGGCCAGGAACCTGGGCCCCAGGCTCCAGGGGTGATCTGCAGTGCTGAAGTGTGCAGTGCCCCCAGAAGCTGTTCCGGAGGGGCGTGTCCCAGGTGAGGGCAGAAGAGGTGCTGCGAAAAGCGCCAAGTTGTGGGGACCACCAGGTGCAGTCTCAAGAGGCAAGGGGTCAGAGAGAAATGTGGGGATGTAAAAATCTAGATAACTAGGGAGTGAAAGACAGACCGGACAGGCCAGCTCCAGAGCCTGCAGAGCTTCAAAGCCAGCTGACAGTCTCTGGAGTTG